AGGCGACGGGCTGGCCCGGTCCCGTGCAGGGTACGTCTACGGCGGAGGGATGAGTGTACAGGAGATGGAGGTCTCGCTAGGAGAGCTGAGCCGCACCGGAGAGATTCGGGCCGGGGAAAAGAAAGAGCTCATGGCCCTCAACACTCGCCTGGCCAGCTTCCTCAGCAAGGTCCGCATGCTGGAAGAGCAGAACCGCATGCTCCAGGCTCAGTGCGACGTAAGTACAATATACATCTCACAAATCTCCAATCCCGACTCCTCGGTGCAGGGTTCTAATCCCATACACACACCAACACCATAACAAGCATAACTCTACAAATGATTACCCCCCAAAAATGTCGTACAATTCTTACAAGGAGATACAGTCTGTAACACATCGATTCAAGGCTATAGTCTTATAGATTTACATACTTTGAACTATGTGTAATTCATAAACGTAGAACAGGTCTGATGTAAACATTGTAGCGGATTTATGAAAGGTGCGATGCACAAGTAGCTTACCCCATGATTAGAACGTTTAAATCATTACCCAAAGCACCTGTTTCACAGAGGGAGAGCTCTGATTTAGGACGTGAAGAGTTTGTACAAGGTTTGACCCCGATTCTTCAACCGTCTTGTTACCACTCTACGGTCTAGTTACAAGTTCAAGCACCCTGTAAGGGGTCCCGTCCAAAATTTAGGACGCGAAGAAGCATTTACAAGTATAACAGTGGACAAAAAGGCACACATATACATATTTAATGATATCTTGTATGAAATATTATAAAAACGATAAGGATTTATATACCGCAAATTTGTTTCAAGTTGTATCTTATATTTATTACTCTTTTAACCTCACTAGAAGAAACTGACAAAAACGTGACCAAAATTTAGGACAAAGGGAATGTTATACGTAGCAGTGCAAAACTTAAAAGTGTAAAATATAACAACCTAATGCAGGCTTTAAATTATGTTTAGAATTATAAAATTGTTTAAACATGTACCTAGAAGATTTCTATTTTATTTTTTTGGGACGTGAGCGGTACCAGACCCAAAATGCGCCCCGCCCCTTTTTCCTACTGACAACGGGGAATATCTTTACATTACGTTCTATTTTACTTTTATCTGTTTAGTTAAATTCTTCTGTATTTGCTAGTAGAAAAACGTCAACAACAAGACACATACAAGTATGATTCAATCAGAATGGTGGCACCTGGGCCAGTTTAGATCACACAATTTGATTGGGTAAAATCCTTTTCTATCGCGCAACAAAAGATTCGAAATCCCCACGATACAACAAGGGGACCGCATCGGAATGAATATAATATCTAGCCTATTACATGGCTCTGCGGTTGCTACTGATATCCATTTGTAATAATGTTTCGTATTTTAAACGTTAACTGCAAAATAAAACTCCTTTTTCTGTTTCATTGACATCTTTTGTGCCTTTTTTTCGGAACAATTCTTGCTAATTTTGATACGCAACTTGTTTCGTCTTGCTATCATATTCCTACAGCTTCCATAACGTTGCCAAACATTATGCAACATCGACATAGATAGACACAAAGCAAAAGCTTATCTTGTGTTACAAAATAAAACAAAGTTTGAAGATAAGAATCTTCTAATTTGTAGAGAGTTATCGCTTAAACCATCGCAGAAGCCCCCCTATGTTTATTTACTATCAGAGAGAGAACATGCTAGCGGCTACGCCTAATTAAACTCTGAAGCATGGTCTCAGGAGAATCAAAGAAAGTGACAGTTTACACCTGGTTATACATACCTGTGTCAAAAACACTTTCTATACTAATCATCTTTGATGTGGCATATTGCTTGGCTGTATCATAGAAACTGACCTATGTTTAGTTTGCATAATGATTGTGGATATATGAGTAGATATGTACACTGTGATTGTTATAGCGTATAACATGTGTGTATGTTTTGATCGTGTTCTGTGTACACGTTTAAATGCTACTGTATATGATATTTTAATTAGACTTTTGGTCTAAAAATGAAAACATTAGAATAAAAAAACAATTGCAAAGCTTAACTTTAACCTTTTGAATATATAGCTACAAGCCTAAATGTAGTGACTTTCTGCCATTTTTGTTCTTTTATATCATACTATGTATTACATCATATTACACCATTTATTACACTAAAAATTTGTGAAACGATTTTTTCCTTGACCAAAATGACTATTCTACCAATTTTTTGCTTATAAGAAGGCTTATACATAACCAGCTTTCTGTGGGTGTTGGGGGGGGGGGGTAATGTAAGTTGCCAGAATTTTGGGGTAAAATTTTGGGGTAAAATTACAAATTTCTTTAAATCTATAGACAGAAATGCTGAACGATTGATTTCAACGTTTATACTGGAGCTATGGCAGAGTTGTTGGGAAAATATAAGAAATTTGGTTGAATTCTGTAGAAAAAAAAATTGGAATTAAAACTATTTTCCTAAATAAATTGTTTCCAGTCGTCTGCCGGTGCTGGAATCATATCGGACTTGAGGGAAAGGGTTAAAGTTAAGGGCTAAAATTCTGAGGAAAAATAGAAATTCTGTATGCAAAAAAGAGATTCTAGATTATTCTGACGATTTCAACAATTTTTTTCCAGTCGTCAGCCGGTGCTAGAATCATATCAGACTTGTGGGAAAGAGTTAAAATTAAGGGCTAAAATTCTGAGGAAAAATAGAGATTCTGTTTGATTCTGTAGACAAAGAAGCGATTCTAGATTATTCTGACGATTTAAACAATTTTTTTTCCAGTCGTCAGCGGGTGGCGGCGGAGCTGGGATGGTCTCGGAGCTGCCGGACATGTGGGAGCGGGAGATGCAGGCTCTCCGGCAGCAGCTCGAGGCACTGGCCACCGAGAAGTCCCGTCTGGACATCCAGGTGGACAACTACGAGGGGGAGATCAACCAGCTCAACAACAGGTCAGTAAAGAAATAGTTTTTAGAGTGCTTGTGTGAGTGGTAGACAAAATCTAGTCACTGAATGCTAGATAAAGCTTACCCATTTTGAATGCTAAAAAAATCTAGCAATGAACTGAAATGCAAGGGAAAGTCTGGCCACTGAATGCTAGAGAAAGTCTAGCTACTGACTGCTTGACAAAATATAGCCACTGAATAGACATCTAATGACAAGAAAACCCAAATGATCAAGGGGTGCTAAACAGACGTATATATACAAACAGGTGCAAAAGATTATCTACGTTAAGACATGACAATCTTACCTCTAGTACCATCACGGATATTTCGTTAATAGTAGAAAATCCCAATTTTACCTTTTCAATAAGCAATTTCAGGTACTTGTGCTTAAATTCTTTAAAACGTGCTTGTTTTTCGGGCAAGGTCTTATCCACAGGATAGCTATAGCACAACCCTCTTCTAAGTCTTGTAAAGTGAGCCTATAGTATTTATAAACGGGTTACAAAACTATAGCTTCCAAAAACATAGAATTTGGACGTTTCCCAATTTTTGATTGTGTAACTGAAGTCGATCATTGTCAGGGAATACATAGATCCACTGTCGCTTTGAAAATGACATAACAGAAGCAGACATTCATTGACAAAGACTGGAGTTGTGCTATCAAACATTTTGGTGAGTCCGACTTCTGTGTTGTTACAAGTTACGGTGTAGAACCCCTTTTACAAAAGGTCAGCCATCTTTGCCTTCCAAATTACTACAGACGTCATTTGCATACGAACAAAACAAAGCTGTCATTATGACCTGTTCTACATGACATGCAGACTGATTCATTGTTGAAGGTCATTTGTGGGACTTCGATGTACTATGTAGTGGCCAAAAGGCTGCAGTATCAAAAAATATGACTTTTTTGCTAGTTACGTTATACACACAGTTGACAAGACAGAATGAAAGGACAGTATTGTCTCTATATATGAAATATTAGTGCTTGTATTGCTGTGCTTGTAGATAAGTCATATTTACTAACGTGAAATCGCCGAAAAGAGGGTGTAGAGTCAGTGTTTGCAGTATTCTAATATATTAAGTCTAGCTGTTATGATTTTTAAGATTTGTAGTTAACATTAAAATGTTTTGGAATACGGTAGACTATTCTTTTACAACATATTCTTCACTAACGTTGTGTTCTTACTTAAAAACTGTGTGATCGTACTTTTATACGACTGAAATATCATGTTGAAAAGTATGAAATTGTGTCAACTGTGATGCATCACACTTCGGTGATGAAGTAGATGTCAGTACAAATGTAGACAAGGGTTGACATGACCAAACTGTAGCGACTTGTCAAAAGGGGGCGTGGCGCGTCTGCGGCATACCCTTCTGGTGAGTACACCCGCCCAGCCAGGACAAATGCAGCCGCAGAATGCAAACACAACTTTCCTGCGCTAAAAACAGTATTCAAAACGTTCTCCGAGCACCGTTATCCAAATTTACAGCGAGCTCCATGAATATTTCTTGTCTTAGGAGTGTTGACCCAGAAAAAATGACGATGCCCTTCTTGCATACTGATGTGACCTATGTCATTCGGTGTATTGTTCGGTATAAGTCTGTTGCCTTGGTTAAAGACGGTACAGTTTTGATAATTCTCAAACGAAAAATAGGTTGTCCTTGTGCTTAGACAAAGTGTTATTATTAGGTTTTCTTGTACTTGCAATCTATTTAGTACTGACAACTTACAAGGGGCGTGTCACATACGACACTAGTGATAAGGCAATAGATAGCTACAAAATGCTTCAAATGGCCAGTTGACACTTCAACCATTGTCTTGTAGTTTTAAAGCAATTCGTACAGGAAATGGATGTCTTTATAGCAGACACGAGGAGAATTTCTGCTGCTAGCTATTCCATTTGACTGCTTCACATTACATCTGTATATTTACGAGGTAACCTTTTTGTTTTCTTTTGAAGAATCGTTCAACAGATCCGACATAATTTTGTGTTAGGATAATAGGATCAACATCAGGAGCCATTGAACAAGATAGTGACCATTGAGAATGTATTAAAGCTATACAACCAAATGAGGGGTTTTGAAATACTGCTGTGTTTCTGCTTGGCTGCACACCAAGTAGACATTCCTCAGCAATGGGCCTCGCGCCATCTTTAAAACTCTAAAGTTGCTCCACAAGACAGACCCTCTTTAAATCCAAGATGGCGGATTTGTAGAAATGTTTCGGGCCATTGAAAAGAACAGCAACAGAATTGGCATGTTTTTGTTGTGGCTGTGGTAACTTTTAATCTAATGCATTGCTTCAAAAAGAATGAGGAGAATCATCCTTGTGAACAGTCTTTAAATGTTGTATTTAAATTTTAATTTGTCGTAGTTCGTCGTATGATCGTCGTACGATTGAAAACAAAATGCACTGTCAGGATAGTCGTGCATGTGTCTTGCAAGATCTTGTTATGGAAAAGTCTGTCGTTGATCGTTGTAGGTGGTTGATTTCGTCCCAGCAAACTTGAAAACCCTACAATATCAAAATCGTACGACCATCTACGACAAATATGACCGCTGCAATGCTTTCTAAACATTGTCATCTGGTCGTAATGGTCAGTCGTACATAGGTTGAACTTTTTGGGAGGCGTTACAGCTTTTGTCAGAAGCGATTGCGAGCAGCGAAAACAACAACCTAGCTCGGCCCTGCCCCCTGTAAGCCCTCGAATTTCACAGTTAAACGCCTCTGTAGAATTCCCGGGGTTCTGCTCTTTGAATACCGGCGGGGTCAGACCAGGCGTGTCCGCGCATGCCGCTCAGCGCCCGACCGGATCAACCACTTCCCGCCCGGCCTATCACAACACACAGCGTGGCGCCCGTCATACAGGCTATCAATCAGCAAAACTAGTCAGCGGTTTTCTACATGTCTGGTCTTCTTGAACACGTACAACTCCACACTGCGCGGTTACGCTCGCTGTAGACCGTCGTACGATTTAGATGTGACAGCTGAATTTTGTAATTTGCGATCGTACGACAAACGTACGACAAGCGTACAACTAATGCACGCAGAATTTTAATGCAGAATATATTTGTAAAAGAGCATTCCGTTTTGAGGAAGGACTTTTAAAAGAATGCCAACACACCCTTAAATTACCAACGTCAAGTGCAAATACCTAAGCGATTACGCCCCTATAATTTTAGACATTTGTAAAAGAAGATTAGCATTCATTCTTGGGGATGGACGTCATATTGGAATACCAACCCACCCAAGTATCTAAGTCACTTATAAACCCCGGATAACTTAAGGTGTTATTGCATTATACTTAGACTGAATGGTCTATAATTTGAATATCTAACTAAAAGCGGACTAGCATTATTTATTGACTAGGAGAAGTCCACTTAGAATACCAACACACCCAGAAATAATAAAAGTCAACTGCAGAGTTTCAGTGATGTAACATCGGCTATTACGTCTGTCCCACCAATTTGGCTGAATGTCTCACATACCTTATGCATCAGAAATGCCATTTATTAAAAAGACTGAATTTCTCACCGAAAATTGATGTGTAGTTAATTAGAATACTAACACAGTCATATTATAGTATCACAGGCAAAACTACTGTATACTTGTTGAAATGAGTGCGCTGTAGCTAGCTACAATGCATTACAAATGCCACGTGTAAGAAGAATGACATTCTTTACAGAGGAGGGGCATGTCATTACCACAATAACCCACCCATAACGACTTTTTCCATCTTCAACTGCAAAGCCTTCATGGCTGTAAGATTACACTGAGACGCATTACTTCCAGGCACTGCGTTTCCTTCCTGTTGTGAGTTTTCAAAAGAAGCAGGTGTGGGCTTATTAAAGTGCCACGATAGTCAAGTGGCAAAGGCCTTACCTCACATTTTGAGGTCACCACTACAAATTTGATAGGGTTGTTAACGTATAGAATCTAAAGGTTCTGAATCTCTAACAGTCCCCAATGCTGTGCACTTTGGAAAAGGCACTTTGCACCTGGACTCAAGTAGTAGAAATGAGTACACAGCTTCAGTTACATATATTCCGCTCCGCTCCTGTTATTCCTTAGCGGGACCCTCTGTCACCGCTACTGTTATTCCGGAATTCCTTAGCGGGACCCTAGAGCTGTCACCGCTCCTGTTATTCCTTAGCGGGACCCTAGAGCTGTCACCGCTCCTGTTATTCCTTAGCGGGATTACCGTACAAGATTACTACAGATGTGCTTGCCTAATATAATTAGCCCGGCTAGGTTCTGAATACATATGTAAATTTGTTTACCAAACGGCGGTCGGACGCGTCGACGACATGCTCAAATCATACAAATGCCACAAAAATATACAGTACGTACCAAAGACTAACAACAAATATCAGTACCAACTACACGTAAACAGTAAACGGCAGGTAGATTTAGCAATACTTGATTTCACTAAAGCCTTTGATAAAGTCCCCCATGGCAGGCTCATCTCAAAACTGGAGTATTATGGAATCCAAGGCCCTACGCTGAATTGGTTAAAGGCTTTCCTGACCAACAGGGAGCAAACAGTAGTGGTTGAAGGGAAGGCGTCGGCTCCAGTTAAAGTAGCGTCTGGGGTCCCTCAAGGAACCGTCCTGGGGCCATTGCTCTTTCTCTTGTATATAAATGACCTACCAGATCAGCTTGACTCAAATGTGAGGTTATTTGCCGATGACTGTCTATTGTATGTAGAGCTTTCTACACAGACCGACTCACAACTTCTCCAAAAAGACCTGAACACCCTGGAAGAATGGCAAAGCAAATGGCTCATGCAGTTTAATCCCGAAAAATGCTACATTATGCACATAACAAACAAACGAACACCACATGCAACTAGCTACCAGTTTTGTGGTCAGGCTTTAGCAACCACAAAAATCCATCCGTATCTGGGCGTCACGCTGACAAGCGGACTGAAGTGGGGTGCACATGTTAATAATATCACAACTAAGGCGAAACAGACATTGGGAGTGATTAAACGTAATCTGTGGGC